ATATGTTTGCACGGTTTATACCACTTTCGCGAATTTTATTATGCGGGGCACTTTAAAAGTCGACTATATCGGGCGACCAGTTTTGCAGTTTTTTACTCGTTTACTTAAACTCCGAAAACTAATTAATGCATCCGGTTACTATCGCCATATTTATTAAATATCTAATAAATAATTATCAGGGATTAAGGATAAATCCAATAATTATTTTAAATCATTTTAAACTTTACGGTGTTAAAAATACAGTCCATATGTTTGTTTCTGTTAAAATAATGTAACGGCCTTGCATAATGAAGATAGTGTGAATTGAGAAATAAAATAGGATTTTTAATAACATATGAAACAGTTATTTTTCTTGTATAAAATAGTTTTCAGTTAACCATTTTATTGTATAACACGATAGTAATTTTTTTTGAGAATACGTTATTATTTTGCATCTATCTATTTGTTTTTAGATGTAAGTTACGTAATAATACGATGTTGTTGAAGTAGAGTTAATTGGCATTTCCTTTAATTTAATTGTTACTGGTTTTTATTTTGCGATTTAAGATTATCGCCTTTTACAACGTTCCGTCTTGACTTTCCTGAGTTGAATGTTGGCTTGTGTGACTGACGGTTTTCAATTCGTCATCGTGGTCAATATACAAAGTTTAATCCAAATACAACTGATAATACAATGATTCACAAATGACTATTAGATTAGAAATAAAGGCAGACACACGCGGATTTCGTTAGCAATTTCAAAGTTTTGGAAGATCAGTTGTAGGTTTGTAGCCAAAGACATTTAAAAATAGACTAAACATAGTAAACAATTTTTTTCACCGGTACTTTCTTCGAAAGGTAATATATTAGTTGTCAAGCTTAGTACGCCACATCGTGTTCTTGTATTGACATCTAATAACACATTATACTCAATTATAATAACCTTTACCTTTTGGTACAATATAAAGTTAAATGTTACAAAATAAAACATAAACATTTAAATATATCTAACTAGCTTTCGCCCGCGGCTCCGTCCGCTTCGAGTTCAAAAAAACAAAAGTTAGTAGCCTATGTGTTCTTCCAGACTATCCTCTACGTGTATGCCAAGTTTCATCGAGATCCATTCAGCCATTTAGGCTACAAACTCTAACAAACATCCATCCATCCATCCATCTATCTATCCATCTAAACTTTCGCATTTATAATATTAGTAAGAATAGTTATGGATAATGTGAAAAATGTCTAAAGTTTAGTGAAAACTATGCTGCCTGTATTATATTTATTGAATGTCTTTGTTCGTAGGTTTTCAAGAGCCGTAGCTTACAGTCGTAGAAACCCGATATTTTCGAACCTCAATTTTTCGCCCCATACGAATATTTTACATTTCACGCGGACGAAGTCGCGGGCAACAGCTAGTCTATAATAACCCAAATGACATTATACTGGTATTGACGTTTGCAACAAAAGAAACCTACGGTTACTGTCTGACTCGTAATAACTATTTAATAAAACAAGTTTAAAAAATAATGTCGGCCAAGGTCAGATACCGCCGACCTTTGCATTACTTTCACTTAAAACAACTCAACCCATTATACCCCTAATTAACCTTAAATAAAACCCTGGAAGGATACGAACCGAACTGCTTTTGTCTTCTTTTCAGTTTAAAAAATCGGCAATCTTTAAATAAACGAGATCGATCACCTGATTTCGTTAAATTCGGAAGTGTTTTGTGTTGCAAATGCGTTTCCTTACCTCTAATGAGCAGAGGATGGAAGAAGACTATAGAAAGGCATCTGTATCTACACATATTTCCTTTATATGCATTTCTTATAATCCTTTCATAAAATTAGTAAAATTTTCTACCAACCTACATATTTATTTGCTTTTCTTTGGCCCAAGATGGATAAAATTTGGCCTTTTTCAGCTAAAATTTGATTTCAGACACACAAATACATTAGAAATCTTTCTTTTATATCGTGATTCCTCTGTCCGGTGGGGCTTTTTTTTATACAAAAAGGTGGCAAACTACCACCTAAATCCGCCAAAAGCGACCGCTGCTTTTGCATCTGCAATTGCGGATGTGTATGGGCATCTGCTCATTGCCCACCCTAAATCGACGAAGGAGGAGAAGCACATAAAGAGGATATTTCCCCATCCTATGCGTCTTCTCCACCGTCAAATCCACTTTCCCATCCATCCTTCTCTTAAAGAAAAAGGTGGACGGGAAAGGGACTAAAATTGGGCCTTCGGCACCACACTCATCAGACGAAACGCGGAATTGCTTCCACTTCACGCCTGTCTTTTGTGTGATCGTCGTATTTCACCGGGCGAGGCGACCCGTTCGTGCGAAGATGTTAAAGCGGGCTCTACCACTGTTGAAACTGTCTGTTACTGTTAAACCATACATCAAAGTTTTAATACTTAGTGTACCTGTATACATCTATAAACACAAATATCGTCCTGTCAATCAGTTGTAAGTGGAAAATACCAATTAAAAAGTTGCTTAATAGATATGCAACTTTATAGATTAATATACCTACTTTATCAAAAGGAGGATATTAACAAATAAGATAACCCAGTGGTCGGCTATTTAACAATTCCATTAGAGTATAAATTAAACAGTTATTTCATATTTTTCAATATTAACTTAACTTATGCACTTTTCCCAATATCACCTTCATTCGTTCGAGCAATTTTCGTAAGAATATTACAGTTTTTCAGTCAAATGATGCAGTTACTTTTTTTTGGTGACGGAATGGCCACTGTTTGCCTTGAAGATTTACAGATTCACCGAGCTTGAGTCTGCCGAGCGCAGGCGCTTAGCCATAACTTCTTTTATGTCTAAGCTCGAGGGCTCCTTCAGGGGCCTAGTCACGGGCCCGTTACTTCGTTATTATTACTGGATTGGAAGGCCACCGAGCTCTTAGATCACTTCGGTGGACTCCATGGAGTGACTAGGCACAAGGGCTCTCAAGAGGGGACCTCGTTTATGCAGTTACAGACTGTAAGAGACATATAGGCTACTTCATTTATTATTCGGTTTTGACGAAGTCGCGGACTACAACAACTATAGATATGGTTTTTCATAATTTGAATCAACGTCCATTCTATTTGCTTTGAAAACGTTAGTATAATTATTATTATTTTATTTTGCTCATTTCCATTTGGTTAATAATTCAACTCATAACGTCTTATAAATTAAAAAGATAATTTAGTTTTAACAGTTTTTGTTACGGATGTTTTTAATAAGTTTCAGTTGTACATTGAAATTTAGTTTTTACATTTTCTTAACCGACGTCTAGATAAAATAAAGATAATCTACATAGCGTACATTATGTGGAATATCTTTTAAATAATAATGGAAAATTCCGTATTTTAACTAGTTTAATTTAGTTTTGTTAAATTTATAGTATTCAAAATGAAGGAAATGATAGATTACATCGGTATAATTTCGCTATCGGGCCAGATAACTTTGACGCACTCTACAGTCAGCTGCATAAATATAACTAGCTATTGCTCGCGACTTCGCCTGCATGAAATTAAAAAATAATAGAAAATATAGCCACGTTACTCACAGATAAATTACCTTTCCAATGGTATTAAAATCATCCCAGTAGTTTTGCGTGAATCAAATAGATAAAAAAATAAAAAAATACAAATCTTTCCTCTTTATAATATTTGTCTAGATAGAGCCATATTCTTCGCCAAGCACAACGAGATATAATACCCGAATTTTTAAGTTGGCGCGTCGAGAATAAGATTACTCAATTGCCAGACGTGTCAACTTAAGCGACATACACTAATGTGTTTTAGTCGGCATTGATAACGTCCTTTCTTAGCTTCGATTTCCTTAAAATAAATACGGTTTGAAAGTAAAACTTGTATTATTAATATAAATGATAATAATACCGGTTTCAGTATATGCATGACATAATAATAATTTTTATCAAACACAGGCTCGTATACAGGTTTAAAACATAGAAAAATTTAAACACCATATCCTGCAAATTTTACGTCAATCAGTAAAGACGTCAGACACATGAATAAAACATGTTTTATAACGAATAAATTTGAATAATAAAGAATTCGGGATCGTCAAAAAAACAAATCTACAAAAATATATAGCTGATGTTTTCAAACGAATGTTTCCACTGTCCAAACTGTATAAAACTCATGATCATCTTCTCTTTAAGACTTGAATACATACTTAAAAAATAGAGACATGTTAACATTGAATATTGCGAACATGTGAATATTGCGGAGACGCGGGTATAAGGTTGACGCACATCACTCCAGTTCTCGACCATTTTACAACTCATCGCCTTGTGATCGCCGCGGTGTATTTGCTGTCGACGAAACTTCGCCGATAGAGCGGAATAAAAATATAACATTACAATACTGCCTTCTCGCTTTACCGAAGACGTCTCGCGGATTGTGGTCCACTCGCGATGCGGCGATATGATGGCGAGAGAATAGCGCGTGGTCCACTGGTTCAAGGGAGAATGATATGACATTTTTTTAAGAAACATGCAACATTAACTTATTTTCCTGCTGAATTAACGACGCTTAATCGGTGGCGAGGCGACTGCACATCGACGGCTATCTTGATGCGGGGACTTGTCAATAAGTTGACTAGGATAAATGCGCGTTAATCTTTAATCTGCTGGAACACCCTAGTAAAGCTAATTTTAAATTATTTAATCAGCCTATTATTGTAAAACCATGGTCACGGTAGTATAGCACGATCGAAATATAAAAATTATAACGTTAATTATCTTAGCTTTTATGTTTTTGTTAATTTAATATTTTGTATTAAGGAAAAAAAAAGTTATATTTCAAGCGTTGGCCATGTGCAAATCAAGTTTATATAAAGCCTCGGAAGGATTGGCAGCATTATTGTTTTTATAATTTGTTCTCCAAGTGTAGTGTTGTGAACAGATCCGTGATGAAATGTCACCTTTTACTGGTATATTGTGGTGTGTGTTAATTGTGACAGTCGCTGCGATAAAAGACGGTAATTATCAATTTCAACCAGCACTCGCAAGGGTTGATATATTTTAACAATTTATAACAATAACTAACATCCCTTAGGGCTAGCGTAATTCTAATGGTGAAAGATTTTTTAAAATTTAATAGGTTTTTAGAACATACAAAAAATCTTGCATTGTATTTAATAACGCCTACTTCAAGAAATAATGAAGGAAACCATTCGATTTATTTTGTAAATATAAAGTAAGACAAACAAGCGAGCAGCTACCGGAATTCACCAATAATTTATTCGCAATTGCAGATGCGTTGCTTATCATACTTCATACTAATATTATAAATGTGAAAGTTTAGATGGATGGATGGATGAATGTGTGTTAGCGTTTGTCGCCTAAATTGTTGAACGGATCTCCATTAAATTTGGCACAGGTTTAGAGCATAGTCTGGAAGAACACATAGGCTACTTTTTATCCCGGGAACAGTTACGGTTCCCGTGGGATTCATTAGTTTAGTTTTTTAATGTTTACTCTATCATTCTACAACGGTTCAACATATCTTATTGAAATTTGGCACAGATATAAAACAAAGTCTGGAGTACACATGGGATAAGCTTCATCCCCGAGAAATGTCCGGTTCGCGAGGCATACGTATCTTTTTATTTATATAGTTCGTATGTTTTCTAAAACAACGTGGACGAAGACGCGGGCAACAGCTCGTTTTTAATAAACGTAAGAATGGACCACAAAAAGATGATAAATATTTCCGTCTGTCAATCTACTTCCCTTACCCATCACTCCCTTATAAGAAAAGTTATGTTAGGTTAAGTAAAACTATAGTTAGGCTGTGTGGTCCCGTTATACAACAAGCGGACCGGCCGCAAATTATTAATATTAAATTAGCATATAAATGTGATAAATAGAGGATCTCGTAGCATAGGTAACATATTTTTGTACTAGTATAGTATTATCTGTGTTAATAATACACATGCAGACAATAAAATATAGTAAGACGAGCTTTCGCCCGCGACTCCGTCCGCGTGGAATTAAAAAAACAAAACTGAGTAGCCAATGTGTTCTTCCAGACCATCCTCTACGTCTATGCCAAATTTCATCGAAATTCGTTCAGTTGTTTAGGCTACAAACTAACAAACATTCATCGATCTAAAATTTCGCTTTTATAATATTAGTAAGTAAGTATGATTTCAACTTTACTAATATTTAAAGTATCTTTAATACAAAAAATCATGTATAATACAACACAAAAAAAGAAAAATGAACACAGGATGTGAAATAACAAAAAATAACAAACGATGAACAACTTGTTCAAAATTTACGACGCAGAAAATTATGCAAAAAATGGAGCCTTGTAATTTTTTAATTAATTGACCGAAGACGTCAAATTTTAGGTGTACGTGCAATGCAAAAAAGGTTTATAAATTATGCTATTGTACTTCTACAATGTGAATAAAGATATAGTCAGTCGCGCTTGTTTAGACCTAGTGAAAAATTGTTATAATAACGAACACAAAGTCCAAGGAAAGCTTGGGCAACAAAGTCTAACACATGATTTTTTCCTAAGCTTTGAAGGATTTTAATGTTAACTAAATTGGTCGACGATGACATTATTTCTTTCGCAAAATTTTGTAGCACAACTTAAGTTTTGACAACAAATTGTCTGACAAATGTTTTTTTATGCGTATAATGTAAAATACATCATACTAGTTAATATTATAAATGCGAAAGTATAGATGGATGGATGAATGTTTGTTAGCGTTTGTAACCTAACAAATAATCGTATTTCGATGAGATTTGGTTTAAATGTAGAGGATAGTTTTTTTATAATAAAAGGGGGCCAACGAGCGGCGAGAACACAAAGGTGGTTAACGACGCCCAGTCTGGAAGAACACTTAGGCTACTCACTTTTTTTTTTAATTCCACGCGGACGAAGTCGGGGGCGAAAGCTAGTGGCTAATAAAAGAACAGTGCAGTTTTTGTTCCAATAAATTAAGTAAACTTCCAAAAATTATGTGATTTTTATAATTCATTTCATTCATTTCTATAATAATGTTAATAACGAAAACATTATGCTTTGTCGATTTTTTTTTTACACAAACCCTTTTCTGCTACGATAAGAATTCAAAAACTCATCTTTGTAATACATCCGACTCCAAGGACCAACTTTAACCGTAGAATTTAACTCCCATGACATCTCTTTGACATAACAGACTACAATATTATACAAGTTTCAGGACAGTGGAACCCTATAGTAATACTGATTTGTTTTAATATTTCAGACAATGAGGTCGATCGGTTCCCACGCCTCTTCCACTTGGATAATTACGAGCGATGTTTGTCAAAAAAGAATGGCCTCTACTGTCTTGGCACGTTCCAACTCAGCTCTGATGGCCCCAATTCACTATATGACTCCTTAAAGGTATGTAAAAAATGCATGTGTAATGTAAGGCTACAGTACTTAGTTAACCCTTTATTTATGTACGTTTAAAAGTACTCGTACTAAGCTATTTTCGTTTCAAGAAATTGGTTGTAAATGACACTATGTCTGGTAAGTGTGGATTGGGTTTTCTTTATACATATAACATTTGCTTTACATTAATCATTAGAAAGATGTCATTTAGGTGATTTTTGTTTAAAAAATCCTGTTGTAAAATAATAGTGATTATTCACTTAAAATCTAATTATTTTGCTATTATTCTTTTACAGGAGTATTCATCTAACTCAAGTCACTTCGACCACACACTACTACATCGAGGGTACTGTGTGAGCTCTCGGTGCCAGTCTTCTGAACGAAACACAACTCTTCGCTTCGAAAGATGTATTCAAGATCGTACAAAGCTATTATCGATGAACGCGACTTTGCAGACTCTGAAGTACTGTCGAACGAACAAACAAGCAAAGACGTTAGAAGATGTTGAGCTACCTCATATTATAGTTGCATTAGTAGTCGGCGTTTTGCTGGTCTTAAACGTCGTTGGTACTGTTTATCATGCCTTTGCGCGGAACAATCGTAAGAAGTATTCTCTACTTATACAATCTACTTAAGTTCAAATTTAATTTAAAAATAATTTAAAAATCATATAAATATTAACCTGATGCATCTTAATAAAAAATAAATATAAAACGAGCAATGTATTTTTAATGCTCTCTCGTTATCTAAATACGCTATTTGTTCTATTCAACAAAAAACCCAATTAAACCAAAGCCAATAGCAACTTTTAAATTTATCTATCTGTCTGTCTGCAAATTAATGTTTGTTCCAAGTGATCTCCGTAACAATTTGCCTGATTTTCATGAAACTTTTACTAGAAGGTAGCTTTTGTATATGTGCGGATGTGATTTAAGCTATTTTATATTCTGCGTTGACGAAATCGCAGGCAATATCTTAATTATAATCTTACTTGATTCCAGAGAACAGCATTCTGAGCATTTGGTCAGTAAAGGAGAATTGGCGTCGTCTCATTTGCACCTACGACGACAGTGATCCTATTCGAGCCGCACTACATCCTATACAAGGAACCAGGTAAGGTAAAAAGAGACAGTCTTGTGAAACATATTTTCATCCTGCTCATAATAGTTATAAAAACAAAGATACTAATAACAGAAATTTGAAACCACAAAAAAAGAATTAGCTACATGAAAGGAACGATTGTCGAATGCGACAAAAAAGTCTTCTTTTTATTCAATCGTTTTTTCTTTAACTTACTAGAGTAACTTCTTTGTGTTATTAAAATAAAATCGTTGTTACTTTTCAGAGTGCTGCTACTGTTACTGGTGATAATAGCTCATGCGATTGAAACAACCTACAAATTGCATCTCGCCAACCCTATTTTCTTAGAAACCGTAAATATTGATCAATTATCTAAACATTAGATACAACCCTGTCAGTCATCAGTAAAAAATAAGACTTCTGAGACTCTTAAGCTCTCTCTCTAAAGCCTATAAAAAATAGAACTATGTTACTGGGCGATAACATAGCTTTTTAATTGCTAAAGAATTTTTTAAATTGGCCCAGTAGTTTTTCAGCTATTTCAATACATAGAGAAATCCAAAAATCCAAATCTTTCTTTTTTATAACATTAAGTAACTAAGTAAAGATTACCTTCTACATGCGCGAATTTTACTATCTTCCTGGCGCAATGTTAAACTACAATATATTTATTTTTGCAGGCTCAAAGAAATCCTATGTCAATATTTCTCAAGAACGGTACTTCTTCAGTACAAGCATTTATAGTTATTTCAAACTTCCTATTCGCCTACATGCTGTTAGGATACTCTCAGAAGAAGAAAGTCAGCCTCTCAATGCTACCGATGTGCATTTTGTATAGAATAGTAAGGTAATAACAAAAATCAAACATTAGGAAACTAATTCCCGGTACCTTTGGAAGATTTCTCCTGACACCAAAAAAAAAACACTAATTCCAGCTCTCAGAGACTTTAATGGACCATTATGTACTACTTATGTCTTCAGTCTAAAGATTTTCGGAGTAGTGGCATTAAAAATGGATGGATTGGTTCGAATACTGTCGACAACCATATCCTAGCACAATCCTAGAACTTATTTATATTAAGTACAAAAAATTTTAAATCAAAAGATATGTGTAAAATTTCAGAATATCGCCAGTGTACCTCCTGACGATAGGCTTCATGTCGAGCTGGTGGCGGCTGGCTGGTGATGGCCCAATGTGGTCAGACCTGGTCATATCTGAGAGCGAAATCTGCAGACAGAAATTCTGGATGCACGCCTTCTATGTGCATAACCTGGTCCATCCTGAGAAGTGGTGCATGCTGCAGTCTTGGTAAGAGATAAGTTATTTCTAATAAATGCGTTGGCTTGCTTACCCAACGTACTGGTAGCTACGAAGGTTCAGGAAGAACGAAGAAATTATGGATGGATGGCGTGAGAACATTCGCACGAAGGGAGTAATTCCAGATATGTCCGCTAAAGAAGTATAAAAGAGTAGTACATACTGTACCAAACTTCTTTAAACTCTTGTTTTACAAATAAATGCTTTTTTCAGGTTCTTAGCGGTGGATATGCAGCTATACGTAATAGCATGTTTCTTAACTCTCTTGTTAGTGAACAATCGTCGACGAGCTCTGTACGTCATCGGCTGGCTGTTCGTCGCCTCGTGTGTCCTGAATTCCGGCTTAGCTTACATCTATGAATGGAAATCTCTGATGTATCTTCTATCACCTGAGTAAGTTTAATTTTTATATTATGATTACAAAATTAAAAATGCTGCTCCTGCTACTCATTTTTGAAGTTCTTGTTTCTCTGTCTTCAGTCGTTGCACTTGTATCGTTTTAATGGGTGATTTCTTCAATTTTGAAATTCAATTTATCTATACTTGTATTTTACAATACTTAATATACGAGACCGTTATATTGCTTTCTTGTTTTTGGCAGGTACCAATCGAAGTATAACATTACATGTCGATATCTATACCTTTTTCTATGAAACGAAGTTTTTTAATTGAAAATAATACAAAAAGCACAAATACCAACGGGTCTTTAATTTGCCTTTAATGTTTTCAGGAACTTACGCAACACATTTGAGGGAGTTACGTCATTCTGGTACTTCTACATATCTCCGTGGGGCAGTCTGCCCGCCTGCCTGCTCGGTCTGTTTGTAGCACATCTACAGTTCTACGCCAAGGAACAAGGATTTCAAATAACAAATACCAAGGTATACATTTGGTCCACCTTAGTAAAAAACATTCGTCACCTCTACCCTCGTTTCGCAAAAATACTTTTTCTATGGAAATACGAAATATTGCTTGCGACATCGTCTGCGTGGAATGAAAAAAAAAACATAACCTGCATGACTCACCTATAACATAGCTCTTTCACTGTGAACAAAATCTGCTATTGAAATCTGCCCAGCAGTTTTTTAATATTTTTGAATACATGCAAAAATCCAAAAATACAAATATTTCCTCTTTAAAATATTAGTACAGATGAATACACAGATGAAGATTCTAAACTTAGTGACGGTTATTCACAAAATTAAGTTTAAAGGTACACATATGGTAAATCGCTTGCTTCTTTTCCTCCAACTTGCAAGCTAATTTTTTAATAACGAACTTTTATTGTTTCCAGTGGATTGTACACCTGTACCACATAGCAGTGCCGCTGTGCGTCGCGTGGGTGTTCACTGGCCACATCATGTCAACATGGACCACGCGTCTCTCCATGGCCACCTACATTGGTATAGAAAGACCAATGTTCTCCGCTATATGCGCTCTGCTGTTGTACGGATCTATTGATAATCTTGATAGTAAGTAATTTATAGAAAAAAAGTGTGATTAAGTTACGAGTGTCATCAGCGTATGAAAGACCACAAGTGTCTACTTGTGGTAGACCTCTTCAAGGTAGGTAATAGGTACCTTGAGGCACTATTGTAATAGTGGTAAAATCATATTTAATATTATAAATGCGAATGATCAGATGGATGGATGGATGTTTGTTAGAGTTTGTAGCCTAAAGGGCTGAACGGATTTCGATGAAATTTGGTATAAATGTAGAGGATAGTCTGGAAGAACGCATAGGCTACTTACTTTTGTTTTTTTTTTAATTCCACGCCGACATAGGTAAATGAACGACTTTTGAGGCTTCCTCGACCTTGGCAAAAAGAAACAAGTTAAGGATAAAGACAGGTCTATTACCTGCTATGCTAGATTGATTCAAGGAGACGATCAAGTTCAGAAAATCTAGTATTTGTATGCTTGAGAATTCTCAGATCAGCATGTTATTAACATAGAGAAACATTTTATAATCTGTTATGGTGCACAGACTGTTTCAGACGTTGGATGGCGTGGCGCGGCTGGCAGGTGCCGGCGCGGCTCTCACTGTGCGTGTTGGTGATACACCGAGTTATCAACACGCAGTTGGTCGCTGTCCGTACTGCTGCTGTTACTACTTCTGTAGTAGCTATTGTAAGTGACTTAGTACTCTTTTATCTCTTTGTTATCTCGGTTCTTTCAGTTTCGCTGGTCTCTTTTTTTAATGGGTGGCCTTTTCGTCCTCTCGGATACCATTATGCATTTCTATAATAAGGTTATTTATTTTTTGAAAGAGCGCTTGTCGTAATCCCTAGATTCAATTGGTTATGATATTCTTCTTTGCATTATTTAACAGTTCTTCAATGTCCACCAATGCCTTTCCTCGGGCGGTTAAATATTTTTTTCCTCTTTTTATTTTTTTTAATTCAGAGTAAACATCAACTGAGCGTATCTCTTCATCATCATCATCCTCCTTATCCTACTCCCGTAGGATCGACGGAATAGGTTTTCGTCCTCCAAATAACTCTATCATACGTCATCACTGTCTTCACTTCCTTTTTGATCATGTCACCTTTCACGCAATCCATCCATCTCTTTCTAGGTTTACCTCTACCGATGTACCTCCACACTCATAACTAATATTCTCCTTGTATCATGCGATTCATTTCTCTTACTACTTACCTTCTCTACCGCTGGGGCTACTCTCAAACTTAGCGTATCTCTTCTTGTAGCTAAAATGTTGTTTCTTTTTAATCTTTAATTTACTATAAAACACATTTTTTGCAGACAATAGAGGTTATAATAACAACGTTTGCTACATATCTACTGGCGATACCAATGATGTTACTCGTAGAAATGCCGATACAACGTACTTTCGTTGCATACATCTCACGAGGGAAGCAGTTAGAATAACAAATAGGAAAATCTGGCTGTGCTACAATTAAATAGATACATTCGTTTAAACGTATTGTATATTTGTATATGCGACTGGGAATAATAACCAATGGGACCTTTTTAATGAGAACGGAAATTGTTTCTCACTTGGATAAAGCTATTTGCTATCTTTATTATACCATCGTTTGCAATTTATTGCTACCTATTTGTAAATTGAGGCGTTTATCTCTTGTCAAGAAAGAAGGCTTTTTTTTAATTCTTACACCTCAAAATGCTCTAACTGTACACACTACAGTAAGTTAGTCTGATTTCTAAGAGTACTGTGTACAAAAATATTTACGTGTTTAAATAATTCAGACGGTAATATTACTGCTGTTCGAATAAGGAGTGGTGAATGGTCATCCTTTTCTAAGCTAGTAAAATTCATATCAGTATAACAGTTTCGTAACTTATTTTAGTAATAGAATACAATTACATTTATTAATTAAGGCATGTGTAAGCAGAGATGTAATCTAACAAAGCTGTAACTTAGTTTTATTTATTGTTTACATTTGTCAAATTATCAATAGCAAAAGTCAAAATTACATGACATGACAAACCTTGGCAATCTTGCTTCCTTGATGTTGGCAGCAACTTATAGTCTCTTTTCCACATTAGGGTTTTTATCCAAAATGTTTACCACCTAAGTTTAATCGCGTGAAAATATATAGCCTAAAGAGTGACGTGTAGGGCTTTTTATTAAAAAAAGGAATTATACAAAAATATGCTGTAATTGCTGACATCTTAGGCAACAAAGAAGTGTGTGTTTACGCTTTATTATAATAGTATAGATTTTTTAAATGTCACAATGATAGTTACCAACATTATAATTAATTCAAAGTGGATTAATTTATGTTTGCTACTATATACTTGTCTTAAAAACTACTTAAAGAATCTCGATAAAAATTTTTGTTTCTTATTAAGTTTTTTTTTTAATTCCGTTAAGACAAAGAGGCTTGAAAAAGCTACTGTTTGTATTGATATTGTAAGTGCTTTCCGCAACCGAGAGTCTTTTAGAGTTTTTTCTGTAAAAGTTAATACATATTTGAAACATTTGGTTAAGCTACATAAACTATGAACTTGTCTGTCTTGTTATGTCACGAATCAATAATGATTTTGAACCATTTAAAACTCCTTCCTCGTTAAAGGTATCAATCAAAATTTGTATTATATTTATTGCACAATAAAAATTAATAACAACCTTGAAATGTTACTTTATGGTCAACATGTTTAGGATTAACTGTTATGTTTAAAACTGTCATAGTGGGATATTTTTTGCCCTAAACTACTACCATATTAAAGTATTGTTCGCCTTGAAAAGTCCGTATTTCCGCAGGTTCCCTGTCATTTAAAATCCGTGAACTGACAACTATGGAGTTCCTATTTCAAAAAATTTATATCTAAGAGAAAATTGTCAGTAAACAATTGAAGTTCGATATTTCTTATTATTCAATTGCTAATTTCGAAAACAATTTGAGCGTTAACTTCAATTTTAACAGTGGCCGACTCGCCCGGTGTAATAACACGACCACACAGAAAACAGGCGTGAAGTGTCAAAGTCTGATAAGTGTGGTGCCGGAGGCCTAATATTGGTCCCTTTCCACCCTTTTCTTAAGAGAAAAGGATGGGAAGGAAAAGTAGATATCAAGGTGGAGGAGACGCATAGGAAGGGGAAATGTCCTCTTTATGTGCGTCTCCTCCTCCGTCAATTAAGGGTAGGCAACGCACCTATAATTGTTTATGCGCAGCGATCGCTTTCCATTTCGGTGGACAAGTGGCCGCACGCTCGTTTGCCAACTCATATTATAAAAAAAATTAGAATCACTCTCGCAATAGATAAAATTAAAAACAAACAATACTGGAATATTAATCCAAGCCGTGATCTTCGAAATCTACATGATGTCACATTTATGCTAGATTGCTGAATTTTCCATTTATTTTCTTATTACCTCGTGATTAATTATTGGTAGGTTCAATAAAATTTCAAAGGAGTAAATCTTAAGTTACGTAGTTCGGAACGCATTACAAGAATTTATCGAACCAAAAACTGTAACGAATGGTTAATCGTAGCTGGGGAATTAGTTATTAAATCTATCTCTACAACTATACTATCTATACTAATATTATAGAGAAACTACTGAGCTGATTTTAGAAACTCTTTCACCGTTAGAAAGGTAATTTATCTATGTAGCATAGGTTATATATTTTAATTTCACGCGGACAAAGTCGCGAGCAACAGCTAGTTATAAACATTAAGCTCTTGTTAATATGACAAATGTTACATTTCAGCCAGTGTTGAAATTGTATTTAAGATCAAAGGAACGATATTTTTATACGAAACAATTCTTCTTATGTAAATAATATTAAAACTACTTGTTATTCATTTTTTCTTCATCGTTAGAATATTTAATGATCTTTAGTTAGATGAACTGTAGGTCTTTTGTCATAAAAACTATTATTTTTAATATTGTACTGATCCTTGTACGGCGTAAGCACTTGACCTTTTACTTTGTACTTAGAAATATACTGACAAATTTAATATAAAAAAATTAAACAATACAATGTAAATATTCGTCAATTGTATGAAGTTTCTGACAATTATCGTTTTATGTACTAAAGGTTCACCTTATGTAAAACAACTGTGTAATAACGTGTTATATAACTAAATTACTTAATACTAGCTTTCGCCCGTGACTCCGTCCGCGTGGATTAAAAAAAACAAAAGTGAGTAGCCTATGTGTTCTTCCATATTTTCGTCTACATCTGTACCAAATTTCATTGAAATCCGTTCAGATGTTTATACTACAAACTCTAACAAACATCCATCCATCTAAACTTTCGCATTTATAATATTAGTAAGAAGTATGATTAGTAAGATTATAAATGCATAAGTGAAAATGAATGGATGTTTGTTAGAGTTTGTCATCTAAACTGCTGAACGGATCTAGATGAGAGTCTGGAGAACACATACGGTACTTATTTTTGATTTTTTTAATTTCACGGATGCAGTTGCCGGCGAAAGCTATAACTAGCTTCTATCTTAGATTAGATATATCTTTGGTAAAAATTACAGAATAAATTAACCAATTTTTATGAAATTTCTTAATAATGTTTCAATTGGTCAGACTCGAGATATTATTAACTACCTATAGCTCGCGACTTCGCCTGCTGAAATAAAAAAATAATAAAATATATAGCCTATGTTACTCACTGATAACGTAGCTTTTTAAAGGTAAAATTGGCCTAGTAGTTTTTAGTGTTTTTAATATTTGCAAAAATACAACAATGCAAATCTTCCCTCTTTATAATATTACTATTGGTTAGATTACGGTTTGTAATTAATTCATGAACGGCATTTCGGTACATTTATAATTAAACTAACATTTGCCCGCGACTCCGTCCGCGAAGATTTAAAAAAAGAGAAAAGTGAGTAGCCTATGTGTTCTATCCCCTACATCCATAGCAAATTTCATCGAAATCGGTTCAGCCGTTTAGGCTACAAACTGTCACAAACATCCATCCATCCATCTAAACTTTCGCATTTATAATATTAAGTATGAAGTATGATTTGTTTGCCAGATTTACTTAAGTCTATAAGTTAAGGGAGTTATTCTCATGTCGTGTAATAAAGTTTTGTAAATGACATATTTTTGTGTGTAAATAATAAGATGTCCGGCATTTTTTAATATTATTCAGATATTTATGCAAGGATGTTTCAATTAACCTTACAGTTAATGTACGTTAAGGTTGTCTACATTGTGTAAATCTTATTGGGAGAACAACCAAAATACGTTATAAAATATATTGTTGTCTTTATTGTTTTTAATGGGATAGAAAGAGACAACATGTTGTGTAGATATTTAAAAAATATAAGCTTAATTTAAACCGTGAAATAAACTTGAATCGTAAAATTTAAACTGTTTTCTTCATGTAGTTGCAAAAACATGTATAATGTATCAATAAAAATTAATATACCAGTGTACTTATGGTAGGAAGGACTTTTATGGCATTACCGTAATCCATTCTGTAAAGCTATGTTTACACAATAGGCAATATGCATATAACGCCAAATTGTACCAAACTTTTTTTAAGTATACAATATTACTATAAAAACATTCCTGCAATGACTTTTTTAAAATATAATATGATTATTGGCAAAATTTAATCATTAAAAAGTGTCTTTTTTTAAATTCCCTCGCTCTGTTCTAAAACGCACACTATTGGTCGAAGCAAGTGGCTTATCTAATATGGCGTCGCTGTGTTGACAATAGACAATTCATTTACATTAGTTTATATAGAAATACACTCTTGAAGTATTTTACTGTAAACACGATATCAAAACCAACTTCAAAATAAAAAAAATTGCCTATTCCACTCAGCGCGGGATTCTATTGCGAAAACGCAAGAACACACATATATAATTCACAGTAGTTTTCACTTAGTAATATAATAAATGCGAAAGTTTAGATAGATGGATGTTAGAGTTTGTAGTTTAAATTGTTAAACGGATCTTGATGAAATTTGGCATAGATGTAGAGTCTGGAAGAACAATTAGGTTACTTGTCTTTAAAATTCGCGTACGGAGTCGCAGACTAAAACTGGTTACTTTACAAGGCATGCCAAATATGCACTTTAAACATTTTCAATGGACTTTATAATAACATGGATAGGACTGAATGAAGGTTGTGTAAAATATTCGAATTAATACAGCTCAATTAACTATAAAGTACCACATGAAATTTCATCCTCAGGTAATGTCTCGTAAAATATATGCTTACGAAAATAAAACATTTAAAAAGAATTTAAGAAGTTTAAATTTAACATTATTGCTTAAAAAAATGTATACTCAAAGGAATCGTACTCATCATCATCATCATCATCATCTCCCCTACCTTATCCTACTCCCGTAGGGTCGGCGCACCGGGTTTTCGTCCTCCAAAGCACTCTATCATCCGTCATCTCAGTCATCACTCCTTTCTTGATCATGTCACCTTTCACGCAATCCATCCATCTCTTTCTAGGTCTACCTCTACCAGTAATCAGTAATATAAATATTATAAACGCGAAGGAATAGTCTTGAAGAATACATGGCTACTAATTTTAGTTTTTTTTTAATTCCACTAGGACGGGGTCGCGGGCAAAAGCTAGAGTCAATTAAAATCTTAAGAGTAATTAGTATTGTGATAGACATCTAATTCGATACTTATTTGCCTCGAACTCTTAACCCTTCTTGGTCGTGGTAAAAAAGAGGGCGCTGTACAATTGCTTACAGAGTTTAAAACTTAATTTGAAACAAATTGTAGGTATCGATTACACTTGCCATTCTCAATTCATGGCCGAACCCTTTGTATTGTTTCATTATGACTTAAGATGCAAATAACGGAACGTAAGGTGAAGGATAAAGCGGCAATAAACAGTACGTAATACTGAAATAATTGCTTGTAATATTTTGCAACGCGTATTTATTATACAAAGCGTTATAAATTAATACATCTTGACTGACAGAAGACGGGTTACTATGAGCGTTGCCAGCAGCTACTGACCTAACATAAATTGT